CAATTTCCATCTAGAACAATATACTCACTTGAATGCGACATTATTGATATTATCATGCTACCACGTTTTCTTACAATTCGTAACATAATGTTTATTATGTGACCGGATCGGAATCTTTTCTTTACGTCGTGATCAGCCGAGCGTTAAATTGACCGCGGTGGTAAATTGCACGGTAAGAAGTCCGAGACTGAATCACTGCATTGGACGGTGGAGAAGAATTAAAGAAATATATTTGTCGTTTTTGTCTGTGTAATAATAACATAATCAAAATTGAATCGCCACAATGCTGTAAAAAAGAAAATAGAGACAGCTGAATATGAACATAATATCGCGTGTAACATCAAATTGCACTACATTCATCGATTCGAGATACAGGTGTATCATTTCCATCAGACTTCTAAATCTATCCCGTGAAGCGTAATTAATAATCCGTGAATCTTAACGAATTTGCGATAAGAAGCCTATGTGAGTGCAATACATTCTTGAAAGATTATAATAAATTTTCGTGGAATACTGAATATTCGTATGTGTTTATTAGTACCTGCGTTCAATGGAAAGTACAATTTTGCAACTGTGTAAAATTCTTTAACCTTTAAGTAAGTAGGTGTATGAGAACCACTGCACTCCATAATTATCTTAAAAATCTTGTTTTAGAAAAGGAAAAAGTATTGCCCAGAAGTTTCAAGGCCAAGGGCATATGATAGACAAAATGTTGACTGCTGTGTCATTTATAAAAAATAATAAAAATTATATTGTACCCATGTGTGCGATTACATACATTATTGTGGACTTTCCATGACGCAACAGTCGCTCGACCTTTTATCTACCATGTACTTTCGTCTTTAAAGTTCATTATTTTTATATTCCTCTATCTCATAAAAGTATAAATAATATAAATTTAACTATTAAATATTGTTAAAAAATATAATTATACATTATATAATAGATATCAAAGGAGCAATAGCACCTCAATCCTTTGAGTTAAATAACATTTTGTTATTTTTGACTTTTATGTATGTCAAAATGTGAATTAATCCGTTTCTGCAGTTAATTTCAAAGTAAACAATGTCCATATTAATATACGCACTTAGTAAATAATAAACTAAATTTGAGACAAGTTTAATACATATTTTGAGTTTCTTAAATTGTTTAACTTTATTCTTAAATTTATTGAGTAGGAGCAGCCGACTTATAGAAAAGATTAAAAATAACTAAAATTGAGTGTAATTTGATGAATTTAACAATGTAAAAATAAAAAATTTCTTGAGTGTTCTGAGCATTCCACCTACTTACTTAAAGGTTATATGAGATTATTAGTTTTTGCCTTTATAATTAATTTCTGTGGTTTTAAGTGTATAAACCAATTATATTAAAGAAAATTTTACAACAGTTTACAATTTCACAGAGCTGCTTTTTCCTGAATGCAATCATTAATTATACGTGAAATATTTTGTACACAGTTGGAAAATTTACATTAAATTTAATATTTTTCAAACGGTTCACTCAAATTTTTCTATTAATTTAATACAAAATGAATACATTAGAAAATAATAATAAATTTTTGACAAAAATTAACACAATAAATGTAACACTAACACAGTTCTTAAGCAAACCATATTTTTTTAGTAAAATTAATATTTACGATATGTTAAATTAGCATATTTTATTTATGTATCTTAGAATTTGTTTTAAAATACATTATATTTATACATATTATATGTTTATTTATTCATAAATTTGTCACTAAAAATATTGCATATTAATTTATATAATATGTAAATAACATAATTAAAGTGTGTAAAATTAATATTCGGATATGTTACAAATTTAACAGAAAATTTGCACAAAAATGTGAATGGATAGTTTTTAATGCAAATACAAAATGTTTTTCACTGTGTAGCAGCTGTGTTGATTGATAGATGCGGCGTACGGCCTATTGTTTACGTAGTTATATCGTGCGGCGAGACTGTAGTTGTGAGGTGGGTAGGCGGGCAGGTGAGACGCGTGACGACGCATTATCCTTCGAGACGCGAAAGCGATAAGTTGCTAGTGCTACGGTATATCTGATAGATGCGATTGTTCTATGAAAAACGATAATTGGATCGCGCGAGTGCTTGACTTTTCTGTATTTCGCGACTTATGAACATTATCAAGGTAACGGTCGTTCATTGAGACGAATATATCTCATGCAATTGATCTATTCCAAACAATATAAATGTACTTCACCTTTCGTATAAATCTCAGAATCGACATCAGATCAAGTAATTTTCAAGTAACGAAGAGATGTTCCGACCTTTTAAATAGCATGTATTTCTCACGGGATTTGTGTGTTCGAATTGCATCGCACGTACGATACTGAATCTTGATTAGTTCTTTTGTACTTTGACTTTACGAATCGAATTTATTGCATGATATATAATCTATAAAGTGCTGTGTTTTTTTTCTTTTTTTGTTGAAATTCCATTAATTTGCGAAATGTTGCGGTGAGGGGGTGGATGGAAAATATAATATTGAGCTTCCATATTACGAACTATGGATAAAAGATTTCTCGCGGATTAAATTTTAGAAACAAAACTTCCTTAATTCGAAGTTATAATACGGAATTTAGTGTCATCAATGAAGTATATATTAAAATTTAAAAATTATTACAAGTCATCGCACAGACAAAAAATTGATATAAATAAAAAATTGGCATTAGGGTTGCAAGGTTCAAATTTTAAAAACTCATATGACATATAATTTTAAAGAACACATATAATTTTGAAATTATAACATGGAAAGAAAATAAAGTTACACATATTATTATCCTAATTGAGATGTTCACAATGTAAAAAAATGTCTTATTGAAAAGTTGCTAATTTTGAAATATGTGTTGCTTTTCTATCAATGCTTTGATAATATTTTTGACATCTTCACCATCAGAATTTGACTTGAAATTTTACAAGGATCATTTCATTCGACAAGGTAAGCCAAATATTGATCTGGAAATCGTGAATGCGCGTATATTTCTGTAATAAATTCATTCGTCTCGACTCTTTTTTTTTATATCAGTCCTTTTAGGCCTTTATTTTCCGCGAGTGTCGGCGTTGAGTGTGCCACCGATCGCATGTAAGAATGTAAGCACTTCGTCGCGAGAGCTTTTGTCTCGTCGGCTCTTTGTTTCCCATCGACGGGTGTCTCCTCGGCGGGTCAATGAATCGGGTTGCGCGCCGCGACGACGCCCGACCGTGGAAATGCATTTTGTTCGATGCTTCGGGAACGTGGCGCATTGTTCGATAGTTTGCGACGTCGTGTCGGTTGGTCCCGCTATCGCGCATCCGCATGCTATGTATGTGTATGAATGTGTGTATGCGTTACATTAAATTGCTCTGAAAATGTTCGATCTTTTCCAACCTATTTTATGCTCCAATTTTATTTTCTGGGTTTCTATAACCACAGAGAGGAATAATTTTGATTTCAAAATACGTTAAATTTTTTAAATTTATGAATAATATATAATTTATTTTTATAATTTGGGAGGGTAGTGCAATTGAGAGAAGATATTGAAGAATTATTAATGTTTATCTATTTAACTAATATTGAATCAATATTATTTATTATATTACTATTCAATTACTTTATAACTATTTTACATAGAAGAATTTTATTTTTTAATTTAAAATGTCATTTATTTTTATGCGTTTTTATTTTATTATTAAGCATTTTGTTATAATCGAGTTGAGTAACTAAAATTCTATTTGAAAAAAATCAATCGAAATTAAATGGAAGGTGAAATTTATCACTACCACTTGCAGTTTAATTTTAGATTTTTAAGATCCATCATTAATGTAAGATTAATTTTAATCTCGATTTAATTTATTATTTATCTTTTTGTAATTCCTAGATTACAAAAAGATAAAGAGTAAATTGAACCGAGATTAAAATTAATCTTATATTAGTGAAATCGAGCGTAAAGCAGCGTTTACAATGAAATTTTTAAGTGTAAAACTTAAACCTAAGCCTTAAACCATATTGACCAATCACATTCTCCTCACATTTGACTGTAATTAGTCAATTTTTTACGCTTAAAGCTCAAGTTTTACGCCTTAAAATCTCATTGTAGATGTCGCTTAAGAGTTACCACCTACTCCTGAACGTGTATGCGTGCTTCAAGGGTCATTTGCATGTTCACATTCGCGTGTGGAATTCGTTCGGCGAGGTTTTGCTCGTGGGGACATTGACGTAATCGTGTCCCAGTTACGCCGCTCGCAATTACGCAAACGTGTTGTCGAATTGCGACTGCTTTTTTTTCATTTACCTTAGGTGGTACGCGAAGAAATGAATTCGTCATCTCCTCTTGTGTGCGCACGCGCGTGTGTGTGGGGGGGGGGCGTGTATGTGTATCTTGCATCAATTACATCAAGATCTTTCCTCAATATTTACACATTGATTAGTATCTCATATATGGCAATGTAATTTTATCACATATTTGAGCAGTTTAATTATAGATTGTATGATTTCCTTATCTTTTTAATAAGTATAGGTGGTGCTCAAAAACTAATTAATTTTATTTTTATATTCATACTTTTTAATTTTTTGTTTATAGAGTTAAATTTACATTATTTTGCTTTTATGAGGTAGAAAAATATAAAAATAATGAATTTTAAGACTTCTGAGCAATACTTTTTAATTTCATTTTCCAGAACAAGGTTCTTAAGATAACTATATGTGCTATGGCTATCTATTTATTTAAAGCTTATGAATGTTTGTACAAAAAATAAATAACTAGAAGATAATTTTTATTAATTTTTAATTAGGTCAAATATTATTGAGAGGATAAATATAAACGGTAAAAATTTAATAAAAAAGAAACAAAGAAATATGTTCAAAAGAAAGAAAGAGTCAAATGATGTCAAAAACGTAACATTTTAAAGATCTCCGTATACATTCTAAGATTAATATGCTGATTCATTATTAACTCATTATTATTTTTTCTGATCATTCTTTTTTTGTCATTTCAGGAGATGACTGTGCCACTTACACCACTGACGGCGATCGCGCAGACACCGCGAAAGGAGCAGGAATCCAAGTTCACCTTCAACCCTCATCTGGCGAAGGTAAGAATCGATCAATCCACCCACTTATTGTAACTAGCTCGTATATGTCGCTGATCAAAATGGCAAATGGGGAATCGAGAGTAATTATTACTCTGCTTGAAAAAAAGCACTTTGACATTCGTAATTGCTCTAAAGGGAATTCTTTAATCCTGTTACTAGCTGCGAACTATTTCATAGAGAAGAAAATTTCTTGCTTGTGCGAAAGATTTTTCTTCTATTACGATTACTACGTTGCTTGCGATTTTTATTTGAATAATATAATAAAACAGAGGGTACAAAATGAAAGAAAAATATTCTTAAAAGATAGAAATTTTTTATCGCAGCAAAATGTTCGCTTTTTGCACGGTACAGAAAGAATGGGTGCTTATCAATCATGATATTAGAATTCAGATAAAAATTCAAAGAACTGTATAATATACACAGTGTCCTGAATTTAAATATTAGAACTTTGAGAGCGTGTAAATCAATAAACTATAAGAAAATCAAAAATCTTTAGATATACTTACTTTTGTTTCGTTTTGGAGAAAATCGTAAAAGAAGAAAACGCAATTTTTATTTTTGTACTTATTTATTCATACTTATTCATTTACGCTTATTTATTTACACTTTTTTTCTTAATATATCGATTCTCTATACTCTCGGAGTTTTGACATTTAAATTCAGGACACCCTGTATATTACGCTTTCAATCAGAATAGCGTGAACGTGAACTTCGTTGTCGAAAGCGCGCATATTTTTGGGAAAAGCGAAAGAGACGAGTGCAAAATACCGAGATTGATTTCACGTCTGTCTCTCTCGCGAGCGTGATAACTCACAAGCGTGATATCGATCTCGCCAACATTTCGAATCGTTCGTGCCACTTGGCACGATGTCAAGCGTCGCTCTGCGTGTCGGTGTGCGTACGTATGCGTGTAATTCCGCGCGTGGTATATGTATATATGTAAAACAGCGGGTTTGGTCGTGGATGAGACAAAGTGAGAAAGAGAGGCATCGCGTAATGTCTTATTTGAGAGAATTAGCATTTTACCAGTCACGGTGGCTCGAACGCTAATCTCATGCTAAATTACAACGATAACGTAGAGATTCGCAATAATCGTACGCGGTGCATACGACACGCACATATATTATTGGCTTTGCGAATGATTATTGCCAAAGAGATTTTCGTGTTACGTTTGATCTGATAATAGTCACCTAATTTTTTTTATATATAAACGATCGCTTACAATAAAAAAACATTTTATATTTGTATTAAAAACTATCCATTTAAATTTCATGTTGAATTTTTAACATAGTGCCAATTTAATATAATGTGATTGTGTTATTTGAATATTTTATATTAAATTGATATTCAACATTTCTTTGTGTTAAAATAACATGATTTACGAGCAAGTGAAACAAACAACATAAAAATTATCTTTTTGTAAAACGTAAATTTTATAAGATAAATGAATAAAATATGTGTTAATTAAACATATTATAAATGTTAAATTTATAATATGTTGAAACATGTTAATTTAACATATTATAAATGTTAATTTTGATGCAGAAATATAATTGCTTACAAATTGTGTTAGTAGTGTTGTGTTTTTATTAATTTTATTCATAATATTTATGTTACTTTCTAATATATTCATCTTATGTTAAATTAACATTAAAAGAGTGGACTGTTTAGGACATGTAAAATGTGTTAAACTTAACATAATTTTTCCAACTGTGCTTGGAGAATTTTTATGCTCCAAAAATTAAAAAGAAGTCACATTATTAATTAAATTATATTTAGGGTGTTTTTATACTTCAATTAAAAATTATCATTTTAATTATATAAGATGATGTATATTATTAATTATTCTATAATTAATTAATATTTGAGGTTATTATGTATATAGATACTCAATATTTTTTTTAAATAACAAGTACAAAAAATAGAATTTCTGATATGAATTTCTGATCACTAAAGAAATATTATAACTGCTTCATTTTCTTGTTGTTGAGATGTAAAAATCACCCGTGATAATTATTCTCGAATTAATTACTTGTTGATATGTTTTCGCACTTAGAATATATATGACTTAAATTTCTAAAGACACGATCGAGCTATTTTCCAATTGAAATTATTGACATTAACATTTGCAGAGATGTTAGCTGATCATCTAATCGAGTGTTTAATTGATTGGAATTCGCGCTCGGTTATCGTTGTTGAGGCGTTTTGACGGGCGGAACATTTGATGCCTGCGGGCGAATAATTCTGAAGCAATAATGTCGACCGGGTGGGAAATGTCTCGGATCGCATTAATTCGAGCTAGGTCCCGTGCTACTTGGCAATGTATCAAACGTTTACTGCTCTCAAAAGCTACTGCGCGACCATAATGCGCCGACGGCGACGAGAGGAGAAACGGGGTTGTTGGAACACAGCAGGGTCGACTGACGCCGGGTGAAAGAGAGAGGAGGCTTGTAAGAGCGCCAGTTTAATTCGGGGTACGTTCTTCTTGAAGCGGCATCTTTTTTGCGGTGACACTCATCCGACGTAAAAACTCTGTCGCTTGACCGCGCGCTCCGCGAAAAATGGTGTTACTTTGTAAATAAAACTGCGGACGAAACTAATCTGACTATCTACTCTTTTCAGCCACGTTCTTGCAACTTGATAAAAATCTTATCGCGATAACATTGATAAATAAAGAGATCCTTTATCTTCCCGATATTAAAATGTAATCTACATTTTGTCTGTTATCATTTAGAAGATTTATGAGACACAGTTGAATTTATTTTTAACGAAAAAGTGTTGAAACTTTGTCAGTAGTTTTTATTTATTTATTTTATTGTAAAATATACAGAAAATGTATGCAGCATACAGCATTAAATTATTAGATTAGATTAAATTTTATTCGATGTTATAAAATTTTTTACTACATTTAAGGTAAGAGTAAAAATCATAATACACACACACACACACACACACACACACAGAAAAAATGTTTGGTTGAATTAACTGGAATTCTGGTGGAAAATGAATCCAGAATTCTAGTTAAATTTACAAGATTTCTGGTTATATCTAGTTGAAATTCTAGTTGAAATAACCAACATTTAGTAGATTTAATCAGAAATCTAGTAGATTTAACAAAAATTCTGAATTGTTCATTTTTCAGTTAATTCAATCAAGCACATTTTTTCCGTGCATAATTAAAAACTATGAAATAATTAAAAAATACAATAAAAATTTATATAAACTTTAATATAAACGTTGTATATAATAAATAAATTTTCGAAAAACCGAATATAGAGTTATAATTGTAATTGAATATTGAGTAACATAGTTCAAGATATAAATGAAAAAGGAACAAAAGAAAGCGGAGAAAAGAGAAAAGAATTAAAGAACATAATTTACTGTCGAAAGAGTTATGATTGTGTTAAAATTATTAATAGATGAATTAGGATTCTCTAATTTATACACGTTATTTATCAGTTGATCGGATTTCTGAAATTTTACGAAACTTTCACCGCTTTTACACGTCGTTTATCAGAACCGCCGCAACCGATTTATAACGTCTGGTAGGACTTTGCATGATATTTGCAGACCGACATGCTGCAGGAGACTGCATTGCGTATTATAAATTTGTTTCCTCTCTTCCCCGCGTCCCGTCGACGAAACTGCGGAAGGTTTGGCGAAGAGTTGGAGAAAAAAGTGTGCGATAAAAGAGGAGGGATAGGGAGACTGGGCGAAATCGGCCTCGTAAAAGTGGATTAATTCGGATCGCAGTATACACACACACACACACACACACACACACACACACACACGCACACGCACACACACACACACATACACACACACACACACACACACACACACACACATATATACATTCCCGACTGGGGATTCCTTTTTGCGTGCGCGAGTAAATTGTAATAACGGCCGAATGCAAAATCGCTGCCGGCGTTTTCTCCGCTCAAACGTCGCAAGAATTACTCGCGGACTTACCGGGAATGAAATAGCGCGGGTGCGTTCGCAAAATTGCGCGGCGCCCGGTGGAATCCGACCGGTGTGGTCGACTTCGCGCTCTCGCAGATGAAAGGAATCGTTACGCGGTATAATACCGGCTTTTTGTAGACTGTATAATTACCGTTTAGCAGGTAACTCCAAGCAGGTGCGTGCGCTTTGTGGTGTCCACGTTGTGTGTGAGAAATATGGAAATTTATGCTCGATCTCTCTAATACCATGTCATCACGTAACACTGAAAAAAAAAGTTACTAAATCTTAATACATATTTCTTTGAATAGTTATACTTACTGTAAATAAATATTTATTTAATAACAAAAAAAATGATAGTTAAATCAAATTAAATGGTTCTTGTAAAAAGTGGCTTTTACAAATTAATAATTTTCAAATAAATATATGTTTACATTTAGTAAATATTTACTTAGAACTATTTAAACAAATATTTATTACAATTTAGTATTTTTTTAAATGTAATGATAGGATTAATTTTATTATTATTTGATGAAATATTTACTTATGGGCTAATTTAAATTTAGTGACAATTGCTACTTAATTAGAGTAGCAGGTTCGGTAATTTGTTGTATAATAGCGTTGTTAATCTATTTTTTTTTACGACATTTATTTGCGGTAGACACTTGGCTGGCGCGGTTACAAGTTGATTATTCCGCGTCAAGTTTCGCGGGAGCACTGCTGAGACTGAGATGTTATTTCATTCGCGATTACAAGAATGCACGTAAAGGGCCGGCCAAACCGCGCGATAAATTTCTATTATACCGGGACAAGGGTCCTCGGGTATCAAGGGAGACGCGCGGGGACACGCTGTAAATTACTCGATGCGGAAACGAGAAGCGAGGAGACAAAGTACACTTTCGCGGTTCCCTTTACAAATTTTCCCAGATCCGTTTAATTTCCCCGCTGTTGTTTTCACGAACTTTCCTCCTTCGTTCCCTTTTGCAACGTTAAATCCTTACCCCGACGTTATTTGACAAACTATGTGTAAACTATGCCCGAGTTATTTGCCGTATGCCATTTTGTAGAAGCGAATATAATTCTCGGTAGATATGTGCACGAGACGTCTCGTTTAATGTTCTAATGGTAAATTAAATTCTGCAAAAAGGGATAGCGTGATTGGCTTGATCCCTTCCAGGGGCAGAATACAATACGATCGTAAAAGCTGATTGTCCTGAGTAAACACTGAGTCTTGAATTTTTCTTTTGCAGTTGACAGAAGTCGCCCCACCAGAGCCTGTAAAGTCATCTCGTGAGTATACTTAAAGCTTTCTTTAACTTTTACAGCTTTTACACTGAGAGAAATGTTTTTGGTATTTATGACTAATTTTATGGTATCAGAATTGGTTGTTATTGTAAAAATGTTAGTAATAGTAATTATATTTATAGTTTATTAAAATATATGTAATTGACACAGAAAATGACTAGAAATTATAGTTAAATTATGATAATTGCAACTTTTATGATAATAATTATATTTATAATTATTTTCAACTATATATATTTTTTATAAAACTAAATATATCTAATTATTATTACTTATATTATAATAATATAATACAGTAATAGTATTATAATAAATTATAGTTCCATGTAATTATAGTCACAAATATACCAAAAACTTTTATCACTGAGAGAACAAAAATTTTCGCACTTATATAATTTATAATTATAATTTAACTTATAATTTATAATCATACGTTTTGTAGAACTATAAATATATTGTTATTACTAATATTACAGCAGTAATAACTACAAAATTCGAGTTTCCAACTATAATTATTTTACCGTATAATTAAAATCATAAATACCAAACACTTTTCTCTCAGTGTACAAACTTCTATATATGTCGTTGACTATAGAGCATTACGTGCATGTCGCTGACAAGTTTTCCTCGATTGTAATTCCTTCGAGATTATACGAAAAAAAAAGTAAATAATCTCTTTTGCGCATTACTCAAGCGTATAACGACATTTGCATTTCCGCGTAATTGGTATGCGCTTGTTTACTTTTATATGAAATCACTTGCTATGTATGGGAATATTTAATGATTATTATATCATGTTTTTTAAAAAAAATTGGACATGCAACATGATACTCGTCATGTCACGCCGCTGCATTTTCACGAAGTTGAAGTTTTATTAACGTCAGCGCTGAACGCGTCGCTGTCAACTTTCGAGCCAGTGTACTGGCGTTTACCGCAATTTTTCGCGATAAAACACACGTTGTGTCAGAGTACAGAATATAGGATCACCGACGGACATAATTTCCGGAAACTGTCCGCTACATTCACCGACGATTAAAACGCGACGCTGCGTATATTGCTCGAAACGATATTTTAAAGTCATGCGCGTAGTCGAATGGATATTAATCGATGCGTCTGTAATTCGCGCGTGCAGTATCGATATGGAATTCACGGGTCGATGCGACAGTTTTATATATGTATGTATGTGCCCGTTTAACATGTTTTCATTAAAAAAAAAAAGAGAGAGAGAGAGAGAGAGAAAAAGGATTGGGAGGAACATTTTCGCTGCGACGAAACGCGCGTCGAACATAAAACCTGTGGATTCCGCGCAAAATCCTCTGATCGTCGATTTCGCGAGCACATTTCATGAATCAGCCATTCGACCTCTGGCATTCGTTCATTTAGCCGTTTAAGCGCGAAATACGCGTTATTTATTCGCTCGTGTGATTCTCGTGCGACTCATTATTTATCGTGGTTACGCAGGCCGTTTCGCGCAATACGAGTTGTTCTCCAGTTTAATCTCGTTATCAGTTTCTTGTAACGTTTTTATTATTGGGGCCCATTTCTATCAACATAGATTAACATTAATCTTGATTCAATTTATTCTTCATCTTTTTCTATTTCTTAGAATCAGACAAAGATGATGAATAAGTTAAATCGATATTACTCTATATTCAGAAATGAATATGAATCTAAATTTTTTTATTTAAATAAATTATAGGTATAATTTTATTATTCTCTCAATTTCTCGAAGTAAAATCTTATTCAAAAAGAGTTAAAATTGCCACTATTAAAAAAGAGTGAAAAAATTACATTCTTGAATAAAAGTGGCAGATTTTTATTTTTTTGGAGTAAAAATTCATACGTTTGGATTGAGATTCATTAAAAAAAAAAGTAAGATTTCTTTCCTTTGGAGTCCCAACTTTGGAGTGAATCTTATTCCAAAAAAGTGAAAATCTGTTATTCTCATTCAAGAGTGCAAATTTTTCACTCTTTCAATATTGGCAGTATTTTAACTCTTTTGGAGTGAGATTTCATTTCAAATAAAAAAAAATTTAGGGAGTATAAATAGAATTAAGCGAAAGAACTTATTAATTTTTAATATTTAATTAAAATAAAGATTAATATTTAATGAAACATTAATACTTAAATATTAGTATTCGTCATTATGTATTATAAAAAATAATTTTTCGTATAAACAATCAAGAAATAATTTTTCGCGTAAACGTCTGGTATCATGAACAACAGAATTTTACGGAAATACTTTCCGTTTGTTGTGTACGATAAAAGTGCAACCATGGCGGCTTGAAAGCGTAATATTCACATTGGAGGCATTTAAATATTTGACATCTCCTCGCGGGGGCACCGCAGCGCACCGGAAGCTTTTCAGAGTGCATTTATATACGTTAAATTCAACCTTCTTCTCGACATCACAGGAACCCAAGAGGTACTATTAAAAGTAAATTAACACTCTCTGTTAATATCCGCATCAATATTAATGTTAACGTCATAATTTACTAACATATTGTTTTGTTAAACGAGCAGCCTATTTATGCAGGAATTAATTACAGGCATCGAGTGCTGCATTCATTACAATAAATAATAAATAGTAAAACAGGCTTGATCGGCGAAATTAATTTGCGCGCGAAATCGATTTTCGAGTTGATCGGATAATTTTCGAGAGAAACGAAATTTTCAGAAAGATTCTCGTTCACTTCGTTAAATGAGCATGTAGATCACGAGAAAGATCTGCACATTTGTCGATATTCCGGCATTTCTAAACGAATGTGGAAGGCAGAAAGGGTTACTGTTTCATGAATTAACCATTTCTCTCCCTCCCCTTTCATCGTTTCCTGTCCAGCGCTCGAATGCCAGTGGCCACTTTACAACGACTATTATTGGAGTTACAACCGCCCCTCGTCAACGATCCGGAGTCGGGTGGGACGAATTTGCTTCTCGTTGTGTAAATTTGAACTAGTTCTCCCCGATAAGCTTATTTCGCGCCCTTTACATGATTGCATTGTGCGTAACTCATTGAAGCTATTCAAGGAAGAAGTGGCAAGCTGATTTCTGGAAAAAAAAAGGATATATCGATATGAATATTTTTTTTATTAAATTCTGTATTTTTCTTTATAAATAGGAATATATTTAAATTATAGGCAGCGTATAAATAATATTTTTAAATATAGATTCTAATGATAGTCAAAATTATAGCAATAACAATAAAATATTTTTATATTTATAAAAATATATCAGGTATTAACTAGATATGTAACACAGTTGTATTGTACAATCATTGTTATGGAGAGATTAATGATTGCACAAATTTTAGAATCAGTTGATAAAAATCATCGCTTTTAAATAACGTGAATAGTAAACTACTTGTAAAAGCTACTTGTAAAAGAATTGAATTTTTTACACATATAATGATGTTATAATTATTTCATATTATTATGCATACGCAGTTGCAATGTTTTACGCAATTGCATTAAATTAAATCTCTCAGTTCTTCGTGAAATGATTTAGTCGGTGAGAGTTGGAAATTGTCGAGGGACACAGATCTGGAAAGAGATAGGATTATCTGAACGCCCACGTTCTTTCTTTCTTCATCGGAATTTCACGGAACAACATCATATATACCGATGCGACGCGACGCGGTTACGACTTATCAATTTATTTCTTTCTAGAATCACGAAGGTCGACAGTTTCCCGTTAACGAGATTCAGTATATCTTCCGCGAAATGCAACAAGATCTTTCGCTGAAGAATTCATTCGAGCGAATTTCTCTTCGGGAGAAATCGGAAAATATCATACATTCTGAAAATTCGATTCAGTGCGAGATTTAGTGGCAGAAATTGGAAGTACATCTGTATTATTACACTCACTTCTCGTTGTGTCATCATTATTGAAATATAACGAGAAAGGAAGAATTTCGATATAGAACATAGTTTTGTACAAGTTTCGCGGAAAGTTTCGAGGAACATCGGAAAAAGAGTCGCGTTGCATTGCATTGATTAGAATTCTGGTTGAAAATGGACAAATTAGAATTTTTTGGTTGAATCTACTACAATTCTAGTTGAGATAAATCAAAATTCTGATTGATATAATCAAAATTTTCTAATTATTCATTTTCAACTACAAATTCTCACAAAAAAACCCATAGAAGTATCCTTTCTGCTTTTGATATCTTTCAGCTTTTAATATGTTGTTCTTCAGGCAAAAATAAGAAACACTTATTTTTTACAAGGACTCAATTTTTAGGTGATGCAACCTCTCTTTGAAGAAAATCGATTTTCTCTTTTGAAACTAATATCGTTGAAACTGTAATAGAAAAAAATGTTCTGAAATGAATGGTTTGAAAAATATTTTATAATAATAATTAAGAAAATTTGTTTAAATAAAAACAGTTTTATTTACATAAAAAAATAAAAAAATGATTTTATACAAATAATTCGTCGATAATCAGGAAATTCCGTGATATTCCTTGATAGTAAAAATTGTCAATTTCTCGTCTACAAAGTTCGTCTGAATTTCGGTTGAATCCTCGTATTTGAACTTATTAACGCAGAGTTTCGACCGAGTTTGTACGCTCCATTGAGCAAATTAATGAGGACCGCGCGACATTATTGAGCCACATGCGCAGGCGTGCACGTGTGACATCATCGGCTGCACGTAATACTAAATTGTTGTAATATCGTGATCTGCGAACTCACCCGATGAACACTATTAGCGTAACGCAGATTGCGCAACATTATATCGAAAACCGCTTACGATTTTATTATATGCAAAATAGACTTTAATTTTCAATCGATAGGTTCTTTGATTTCAATCAATTTGCGATTTTTGCCCACAGCGTTTTCTCGTTATTTTATCTATTATAATCTAAATGTTGATTTAAATTTAATTTTAGTCTAACTAGAGAGAATCCTTTCGACCGCTTCATTTATTATCTAGAGTAGTCTAAATTTAGAGTTCGTTCAGAGTTTATTTTTACTTTAGTCAGAGTT